CCGTTTATCAATGCAGTCTTCCCTCCCTTTGCCGCCGCGAGACCTTTCGGTCTAACAGAGATCCCAATTGCCTATTCTCCGCCTATATCCTCTGCATCAGACCTCAAACCCGAACTTGTTTACAACGATACATCTAGAGGAACATCATGTTTCAGGCAAGCTTCTCCACCTCGAAAACTCGTAAATCTAGAACACGTTCCAGTACTCGTGGTGACTGCCGAAGCATCTTATCATGTTAATTACGATGATTGTACGGTGGGATTTCTGAAGCAGGCTGGGGTTGAGACGACACATGTCAAGTTGGGAGACGTAGGAATTCATGGGAATGGGCATATGATGTTTATGGAAAAGAATAATTTGGATATTGTGGATAAGGTGATTAGAAAGTGGATCAGGGAGACAATCGGGAAGTGAAGAATTCTGGGATTTAGGGAGCCTTGGTGCCTCTATCTGTAAACATAGTCCTTCGAGCTATTCTAGTGAATGGCATGTGTAAAATCTACTTTTGTGAGGATTGTGTGATGTCTTCAAGAAGTCGCGTCTGTCACGAGCTCGCGTTCTTCTTGACCTCTATCCACGATGGTTGCAGGGACCAACACAATCCTCTATAGTCATGCGTCCTTCCTCATGACTTTTTAATGTCTCTTTGCTAGTACCACGAATAGTACGGAACTCCGCTATATTCCTATTCGCATGTCCGTGGTCGAGTCAACCGCACAATATTGAAGGATAACAGAAATCTGCGACGTTCTCCACGACTCATATATTTCCGAAAAACCTCAGTCGTTACCTCCGAGTCCAGCCCCGTCCAGTTATCATGTCTTTTGTCAGCTCCATATTGTAGGATTATCAAGAGGATGGACGTGGTTGACTCTAGAGGAGGCTCATATGACTAAATTGCCTGTGGAGTACTTCTCGAAATCTATTTACACCGGGAGCATAAAAAGCAGAGGTTTTGAGACCAAGGAAGGTCACCACTCACTCCGGTCGAGTCGTGAACAAATATGTTCTCCTGTAAACGAGTTCTCCTTTTTGGACTCGCTGCGCTCGCGCTTTCTTGCGTCAACTCTTTGCCTTTGAACGAAAGCTCAAGCTCCAGCTCTGTCAGAGGGACCCTTCATCGAAGAGACTACTTTTATGTAGGAGGCGACTATGTCCCTCAAGGAAACTCTACCGTCGCCAGTGGGCAGATTTACGTCGAGCATCTCGTTCCGGAACGTGTTACGCAGCCTTTACCTCTTGTAATGATTCATGGGCATGGGATGACAGGGACGAATTTTCTTAATACACCTGATGGAAGACCGGGTTGGGGGGATTATTTTTTGAGTGAAGGATTTGAGGTGCGTTCTTTCTTGTACTATTTTATTTCCATGCAAACTAAGACTGGTATTGGATTCGACCTCTAGTTGTACATAATCGACCAACCAGCCCGTGCACGCTCAGCCTGGCAAATTGGTATTGACGGCAATCAATCCAGCTATGATACTTTTACCATCTCGTCTCGTTTTACTGCAACACAACAATTTAACTTATGGCCTTTGGCCTCTCTACACACTCAATGGCCTGGAGCAGGAGTTGTTGGTGATCCCGTTTTTGACGAGTTTTACGCGTCGACTGTGCCGAGTTTGATTTCGGATGAAGAGAGCTCGGTCAAGATGAAAGCGGCGGGGACAAAATTGCTGGATAGGATTGGAAGGGTGCGTTGACTGGTCTTTTCTTACTTGTATTTCAAAAGTTGATGTTAGCCTGCACTCTTATTAGCCCATCATCCTCTTCACACATTCTCAATCCGGTCAATACGGCTGGATCCTAGCAGACGCCCGTCCCTCTCTCATCAAAACCGTCATCGCTCTCGAGCCCATAGGCCCTCCATTCATAAACGCTGTCTTTCCACCTTTAACCCCAGCTCGTCCCTTTGGCGTAACAGAAATTCCTCTCGCTTACTCCCCACCCATTTCCTCCGCTTCCGATCTCCGACCCGAGCTCGTATCCAACAATACGGCCTCTGGTACAGCCTGTTTCAAACAAGCTTCTCCACCTAGAAAACTAGCCAATCTGTTGAACATTCCTATGGTAGTGGTTACATCTGAATCATCGTATCACGCAGAGTATGATAATTGTACGGCCGGGTATTTGAAGCAGGCTGGGGTTGATGTGCAACATATCAGTTTGCCGGATGTGGGGATTCATGGGAATGGGCATATGATGTTTATGGAGAAGAATGGGCAGGAGATTGTGGAGAAAGTGGTGAGGAGGTGGATTAGGGAAACGGTGGGGAGTTGATTTGATGATGGTTTGTTTGATGCGTATGGAATGTTGGATCAAGTAGTGTATAATAATTAAGCAGGTACACGGTTCTGTATTAGAATATCAACGGAATTGACGCGTACTGAACCAAACCCGGAAGCGAAAAAAGTTTGCAAAAAGGACGTTTAACGGCTGATATTGGACCGATTTCCACAAAATTTTTTTTCAGATGGCTGTAATATTATGTCTTCATAATGTAAAAATAAATTCAGATTTTTTGGGCCAGCATTTCTAGCTATAATGTCTGAAATACGTCGACGCGCGCAAATCCGCGTTTGCCATAGAAGCGAAAAAGTCACGTGCACCACGCACAACTGGTGGTTTATCCGTTGGGCAAAAGTGAGCTTTTGCATCCTCTACCCCTTAGAAAGTGATCTAAAGGCATTATGAGGTACCAAAGGACCATTTTAATGCTTTAATGTCATATGATATGACCTTGATGCTGGAATTTTTCAAATTGCTCATTTTTGGGGGAATTTGTGCAGTTTTATTTTTTTTCGGGGGCATATCAGTCTTATCCACATTTTTGACATTACAGTCTTGTATTGTACCTCAATTAGTGTACATAGAAAAAAAACAGCTTGGGAATGCACCATCTAATGCTCGAAAATTTGAGATTTTTCGCTTCCGGTCATTTTTCGCTTCCGGGTTCGGTTCTGTACTGTTTTGGTATTATTTTATTTCTATTCTTGCTCTGACGCGTCAGTCACGATGGCGTTCAACAACTCTGTTCCATTCCATCATGACGGATTTGTGCACCGGGTCTCATTCTACTCACAACTTTGAATGCTAGGGTTACATTGGGCATCTATTAATCATCCATCTTTCGATGTCAATGTCTCTCTCGATTGGTTTCAGATACTGCCTCAATGCAATTTGCTATATGCGTTAACAAAAGGTGCGTGTTATACAAGGGATTCTAGCTTGACGTCGTTGAAAGATGACATCGGAAATCATGAATCATATAGACGGATAGATGCTTCTATCTGATTCTGGGACAAAGTCATGAGTACTCGGAGCCTTTCGTTGAACGCGTCCACTTTTCAAAAGCCATCCGAGCTTCGGAATACATGTGGAATCCTCTCTCGAAGAGTTTTAACCGACTATCTTCCACAGGGCCCTCTTACGTCTATCTGTCTGTGCGAGCTGGATAGTAAGCGCCGTCATTTGTAACTTCCTGTCAAAATCCTGGTCTCCACGGAACTGATACGGAAACTGTCTGAATCGATTTCGGAAGGCTCATCCGAATAGGGCTCGTATCTGTCGATCATTCGGGCTATGGTGGGCTACGTAGAAGGAACATCGTGCAGCTTGATCATCACTTCGACCCTTGTCTGTATCTATTTTTAGCCTGCTAACAGAAGAATACTATGCGTCTAACTGGCCTAAAGAGCATAGTATTCATAGTAGCTTTGCCCAAGGCTGGTCTCCTTTTTGAAAAGGTCGTTCTGAACTGCAGAACTGGTCTGGAGTACAGTGCTCGATGTTCTGTTATACCCCAGTGACCAAAGCGCTTGTTCACATACAGGTGTCGCATGTCAACATGTCAATCTCAGCCGCTATTTTAGGTGATACGACGTCAAGTTTCAGGAATATGAATACATGTCCGAGACCGAGCTCATTCACGTTTATCCCTCCATAAATACTACCCATGTCTTTCGGGTTCGTGTAGAACCTGACTGCAAGGATTTCCCCCTCCATTTGACTGCTTCTTTACTCTCTTCCATTCATTCAGTATGGCCTTCGTTTCTGGTCTGCGAATTGGTATTTTGAGTATGATAATCTCGTTCTTCAGCTTTGCGGTTCGTTGATCATTTAAACACTTTCTACTCAAGGCACCTTGATTTTATTTGCCCTCGTCGTTCTCGGACTCGATGCTCATCTTATCAGCCTGAGCGAGGAATTTTTCGATCTCTTCGTCGCTTTCGAAGGTCTGGGTGTCGCAAGTGCTGTCCTCACTATCCTGACAGTACCTGTAATGTGAGAGGCATCCACTCAACTCCTCTTTAATCTCAGGCTGACGTTAAAGTACAGGATAATCGTCGATTTTGTCCGAAGGGGAGCTTTTACATCGATGGTCGTGGTCGAGCTTGTATGGCTTGGTGAGTCTAGAGTGTCCTTCATTGGTTGACAATGGTTGAATCAACGGTAAACCCACAAGGAATCTTATGGGTTCTCTGGCTTGCCACCGGGGCGAAAACCGTGGACGATTTCAATATCCTGTATCCCGTAGGATGCGACACCCTTAGTGAATTTACCAGATCAAGTAAGTCTCTACCTTTGCAAGTGGATAGATTGTTCGTTGCTAAAGGACACATAATCAGCTACGCTCATCAGTGCTTGCAGGGAAATGCAAGCCGTTACAGCTTTCAGCTTTTTGAGCTGGGCCGTTTGTAAGTATTATCATAGCCATCGTCAGCATCCCATCTCAATATCTCATCTTGTTTTCAGTGATGATTTACTGGGTTACTCTCCTCATTGCATCTATAGTGGCTCTGAGTCGTGGAAACTCTAGAGTTTGGTTCTCGTCTGCCGGCGAAATGTCGAATGAAAAACAGAATGCTACGAATGCGACAATGATGCAGCCTCAGTATGGCATGCAGCAGGCGTGATCTATTCGCTGCCACTGGGTTATAACCTTGTAGTTCATGTGTATATTTATATCTATATGTAGATTCCAGTCGTTCAGTAGATGCCCCATGGCTGAGTTGGTTACAGCGTCCGACTGTTACATCAGTGTCAATCGGAAGGTCGAGAGTTCGAGCCTCTCTGGGGCAGTATGGTGTCAAGTCTGATGAGATTCGTTGATCTAGAGTAGCAGTGGGAAAAGATGGGCATCAGAATCGGAACCGTTACTCCCCGACGACGGATATTTTCTTAGTCTAAGTGGTACAATAGAGAACAAAGGAAAATATTTTATCGCAAATATTCATCGGCCGCTGCTGTGACCGCAAGGTCCATTTTTTGGCCATAGGACTCAGAAAATAGATTCTCCATGAAAACTTGAATATCGGTGACATCAACACTACGAAATGAATTCACATCAAGTGATCCAAGTCCAAGTGGTTCCAAGTGGTACGGGACTGACGCTTTTTGACGTCATCTCCATTCACGCAGCAGCCAAAGATTGCCTAGGAGCCACTTTACAACGTAGCTGGTCCAAAAGCGTTTTACTCCAGCTATGACGATAGAGGCGCTGGTTGGTATTTAAAAGGCGGGGAGATTTCTGCCTGGCAACTACATCTCTAACAACATCCAAATACTAATAACCATGTTTTCTCGTCGCACTCACCATCGACACACCACTCACCGTTCTCGAAACCCATTCCATCGCCGTGACCGAGACCGTGTTGCGGGTGGCTATAGTGAGTTCTGTGTGTCCCTTCTTGCGGTCATTTTCTGATCAACATATTTACAGAGGCTGCACTTGCCAACCCCAATACAACTCGTGATGGGCGCAAACACGCCAAGCACGAACTGAAGAGGATGGTGCGTAATCCAATTCAGCCCTCTTCGTTTCTCTAACATCGGATGCAGGGCCGTAGTACACATGTACCCCTCATGACCAAAATCAAGCGTACGCTAGGCATTCGAAGCTCTCCTCGTCGACACAGCACTCGCCGCTACTGATTATGACACTTATGTCAAATATGACCTGTATCAATATAGGAAGGATATCTAACTATGGACATACTGAAATGTAGCTTTTAGTTGTTGGTGTACTTACTACTCGTATAATCTATGAAATGTATATCTGCTGGGAATATTGAAATTTGATAAGAACGTTCATTTCATACTGATAGGCAACGCTTCATTTCCTTCTTGCCTCGTTCATATCAATTTAATTCTTCCTGCTCGCGGTTCTCCGTCCCGTTATCATGGCATATAAGAAGAGAGCTTAATCCTTTTTGAATTGCTGCCTTCTCTTTTCGTATCCACTTGGGGTTCAAGTCATGACTTCCGAAATCGCTCTACTGCTGGGGATACTCTTCTGCCTTGTTTTTGCTGTTTATAGATCTCGATCATCTACTAGTAAGGCAAGACCGCCTCTTCAGACTCCAAAACTTTCAAAAACCGAGTCTGCGAACGAGCGGGAATGGGGTGGTGAGTCCTAACGCGAATTTGACATAACAAAGCTCAACTTTGAAAGACTGGGCTCCCGTACTACACTTCGAGTACCCCGAATTCACAGCAAGTCCCTCGGACCCTTTGGAGATGAAACCTGTACCATATAGGCCATTTAGATGGGGACAGTATCAGTGCGTATCCTACAGCATTCTGCATTCTGCTCCGCTAAAGGCTCTCACTCATAGCGTCACTATGGGTATCCGCGATATGCCCTGGGCAGAATGGATCGAGGTCAGCACTGGACCAATGAATTGAATTCTCGCTAAACTTGAACCACTCTATCAGCTGGACAACCAGTTCCTTTCATATCACTACATACGCAGACATCGAATCCTAACTCGAGGGAAGAATGTCCTGAATATATTGCCAGATAGGCCTGGTATTGTGAAGTCTGCTGATCGAAGTGGTCAGTTGAGACTTATTTCAACTTTCTCTGATCCCCGAAACTTACTTCATTATATAGCGGTCGAGCTAGCTCATGAATTGGCTGCGTATTTGAGCAAACGATATCCAAGGTGCTTTACCGTGTCTCGGGAGTCCTCTGGTGCAATACGTAGTGTTACTATTGTTCCAGCAGGCGCAACATATGAGCTACCCCCTCCATTGCTTCAAAAGGGCTCTTTGGAGTTGCGGGCCGTAAGTGAGAAGGAAGCAGAAGAAGCGATGAAAATTGCCGCGCTTGTGTACGTTTCACGGCCTGACGTGAGATGATAGCTAACCGTGAATTAACCAGAGTTCAAGATGATTTGGCTCTGATGGTTGAAGGTATGTTGCAAGAGCCGAGATACTTTTATTTGAAAGAGCTGACAATTTGGTAGGAACGGACGGCCGATACTATTTCCAAGGTGGTGCTATCTGTGTTCCGGGTATGTTGTTACTCTATTCTGAAGAACTGGCCGTTGAAAAACAATCCAGGCTTCTGGCGTATGCGAGACAAGATAGGCTTGCCCCTTGATGAGATACATTTGAGGGGTCACGTACCTCAATGTGAGTTTGATCCATTCATTGTCGATCTTGAAGCTCACCTGGTCAGACCAAGAAAAGCTGCACAACAGTATGGAGCGTTATTTCAAAAGAATGCCTGTCGAGAAACCTATAATCCGAAACAATTACTTTGTTCAACTTGTGCAGCCCACAGAGAGACGTCGCAAACACGACTTCCCCAAAGGCGATATTCCTCCTGAAATAGAGTACGACGATCTCGTAGACCCAGATGAGCTGGCATGGTCAAATACAACAAATGGAAACGAAGATACCTTTACCCATGGCAAACCTATTCATCCCGACATACCACCCGTCATCGCTCCAGAGAATTTACGATTTAGGTACGAGAGCACCCGTCGTCTAGTTTTTTCTGGCTCGCATACAAAACAAATTGATTGTTTGTAGATCGGAACGACAAACGCTTCGGCGCCTCCCTCTGACGGGTGCAATTGTATTCACTATACGGACATATCTAACACCGGTCGTACAGTTGGGACAGGAGCCTGGTGTTCCTGCACGACTGGCGAGTGCAGTGAGAAGTTGGCCGGAGGGTGTCTCAAGGTATAAAGGAAGGGACTTGTATGAGGAAGTCTTGTTAAAGTATCTTGACGAGTGCGCGGAGAAACAACATCTAGCTGGAGAGGATTCGGAAAAGAATCACGGTAGAAGTTATCCATACTAAGCCATCCTGTCAATATTGTTGAGTTAGTCCAGAGTTGTCAAGAAATAGTGCGTTAGAAAGAGGAGAGCGTGATACGTGCACATTAAATTGTATGCCAGCGGGTCTTTGGGATTGACGAAAAGAGAAATCATTCAAGACGAGGCAAGCTTTTATTCCTTCGAGGGGATTTGGAAAAAGAAAAAGGATTACATAAACGATCACTAGGATAAAGTATAATACCAGTGTCTTTGGATCAGTCTGAGTGACCGAGCTCTGATGCAGTGTCAGAGATGAAAGAAAATTGACATGCGTCATCTAAGTCATCGAAAAACAAAAGGAGATTGTCCTTCCATAGAGCAGTTCTCTGCATTCCATCTCGAGGATCACACATTCCAAATATGTCCGGGCATAGAAGTCTGTCGCGAGTCTTGGGTGGAAAAAGAACACCGTTGTGAGCAAAGTGCACTTCCTCAAGCGCTCCATCGCGTGGATCCACTATCTCATATATCACAGATGCGCCTTCATCTTTGTCTCCGTCCTCTGTCCTGGGTTTCTTTGACTTGCTTCTGATGCTTTGGTATTCTGCGGGACGTTTCACTACCATATTCTTCCATGGGCGCATCGATCTCACAGAAGTGACCAAATTTTTTAGGTGACCCTGGAGGATTGTATTCACATAGAAAGGAAGGTAAACCTTGTTGAGAAACCATGATTTATGAGCGCAGAGGAAGGTGTAAAAACGCGCAAACGAGTTGAGATCAGCAAGGCCTAATAGTTGGAGGTGGGTAAGGAAAGTGTATGCAACGTCATCTTTGCTGTCCTATATTTCCAACAAGGGAATAGACCAAGATGCAAATTAGTAAGTGCATCTAGGATCATGGAGGTAGGAGGATACCTTCTTTGCAAGACAATAGTGAGCAGAGACCTGAGATTCAGTTACAGAAAAACCAAAAGTGGGGTGAGGAATGCCTAAAATTTCGTTCACCAATGCACCAGAAGGTAAGTCAAACATCAACTGTCTCTGACTAATAGAGGAATTCTGAAAGCTAAATTCGGTACACCAGAGCTGAAGGGCTAGATATGTCTGCGATCGGTACCATATCAAGTTGGTGTTGTCCTCAATAGCAAACGAAAAGTCGTCGGCGCGTGGCACCAACCATCCAGAAGTGTCAGCTCTGGTATACGAAGCAGGATGCTCGGACAATTTTGTTCTGGCTAGAGGAATATAGATATCTCTTGCATTGCTACAGAAACAGTTAGGTGTGGGAGGGCAACCGATTGAAACAACATACTCGACAAAGATCTGCCCATCAAGATTTGGGCAGGGTAAATCCTTCCATACGATGTTGAGCAATGATTCCGCACATGAACGAATCCGAGTTCCATTAGCGGCAGAATCGACGGCCATCAGATATGCATTGGCCAAGAGAACCATCGACTTGGGGTCTACGGTGGGTTCATATCCATCTTCGTCGCTATATAAATCTTCAACTGCTTCTAATTCTCTCATATTCCGCCACAGGACGAGGTCAGATCGGAGTAGTTTCGATTCGACGGCCCAGAATGACAATTTAGCATCTATGGTAAACTTCTTTCTTTCATTGGTGTCGAGGTTGGGCGACAGTTGCGAGGTTTTTCGTTGGACATGACATCCGAGCTCATGAATTTCCTCTTCAGACAATTGACTCTCGGCGAATTGGAGGGATTGCTCGGTCATAATCACAACGTGCTTCGAAAACAAAGTGAATTTATGTACCGACGAAGTAGTTGAACGTACCTTCCAAAACGATGTAAGATTCGCTTTATTCGATGGTAATTCGGCTGCATCAAGACTGTCGAGTACTCCGTCATCGTTAGGGCCGTAGATGGGCACAGCTCGGCGCCATTCTCGAAAGACATCTGGTTTACTCGCCAGACTTCAAAATGTATCAATTGAAAAACGTCCAGTAAACCGAGAACGAGCGATACATACGATGAAGGTTCGACAAAATTAGTTCGTTCGTAG